AGAAACTGTTACACCCAAAAAATATTACCTAAACGGAGCTTACCAATCAAACACATGTAAAAAAAATTTGTAGATAATATTTGATGTGGGAATTATTCCCTTGACCAATCAAACAGACCCTTAGTGTTAAAAATGCTTATCATTTGGAAACAATGTTAGACACAGATAAAGTAAACAATGTTAGACTGATAAATTATGAGTAAGACTATTATGGAAGAAATGTTTTCTGTCATCTAATGAGCATGGCTCTATGGAAGTGAATGATATACATTTGCAGGATAATGAACTCTGGTTAGCTCCTCCTCCTTGTCCAGGTTATTATAAAGTTAATTATGACCCTGACCTTGACAGGAAGACAGGTAAAAAGGAAGTATGATTTATAGCTCGAGATGGAAATGGTTTTGTGGTGGCTTAGTGGTTGTAGAAGGTTTAGAACTACTGAGGCGGTAGGTGCAGAATGTGTTGTTTTGTTGGCTATTAGGTAAAATTTGAAAGATGTTATTTTAGAAGATGATTGCAAAAATGTGATAGATGCGGTCAATAACATGGATGGAGACAAAGTTCGCTAGCCTGCAAGAACAATTGTTTTATTTTTAGTTAATCATTTAGATTTCTTCAATTTTTTTGTAATTTTGTTTGGTGTTCTAGAAATAAGAATGATGTTGCTCTTTCAATTATTTGGTGTTCTAGAAATAAGAATGATGTTGCTCATTCAATTACTGGATGGGCAGAACATACCACAGTTGAGTAAACTGTCACCTAGTTGGTGAGTTGGAGTATATTTTTCATGCATGGTACTGGTAGTATGGTACATTAGGCCCAAGTCAGTTCAGGCTAATCCATTTCTAGCTTGGCAAAAAAAATTTTGCAAGATGATATGGCGCAGAGATGGATTGGCATAAATCTGATGTGTTTGTCTGACAAACCCATTAGAGATGGCCTCAGAGTTCAGACTTGGAGTTCATAACATTTCCTTTAGTCCCGCACTGAAAGCAACAAAAGAGGATGACAAGGCCAGGGGTATAAAGACAGAAGTTAGAGCAACATTCAAACATACTTACCTGGACGGGGTCTATGGGCGATCATGAAGATCTATGGCCTAGGTTGGTGGCCTCCATTGCACTTTGGAGGGGGTGCTTTCCTAAGATATCTCCAAGTGGGATAGTCTACGTCATAATTTGTTGCTATGGGGGTACGCGTTCGCGCGGCCCCTGCCAATTTTAGTTCAAATTTTTTAGCTGTATGGAACTTGCTCTCCCTTTAATTTAAAGTGTAGCTTGATTTAAAGCTATGAACCAAGTAGCTGGCAGAAACAGTGGCCATCACAATGTGTTTTTAGCTCTGGATTGGAAGAATAAGCAATAAAAGTGGGCAAAGTATGAAAGTAACCTGCTCAATCTGTGTTTGGGAGGGGACAACGTTGCAATCAGATTAGACCAAAATCACTTTCAGACATCAATTGGCCAAGTTTCAGAAAACAATACAAGGCATTGCAAGCAGTTGGCAAGGATGTTTGGGATTGCCGACTGCATAGATAGGACTATGATGACTGCTGAATGTGGTATAAAATAGAGCCTAATTAAACTAAGAAAACATACCTTTCTCGGCCTTTTGGCTAAGATCCC